GACCTGGATTGACGGAGAATCTCTACAGACTTTGAGCTATACAATTTGGGATGAACACCCTTCGAATGGGGTGGGTGTAGGAATGGGTTTCCAGAGGAGAAAATGGAAGACTGCAGGAATCATTTGCATCACTCAGGTGACCCTGAGGACACAGGTAAACCTCCAAGTGGCCTCAGTGATTCCTTAAAAAGGATGCAAAGGACCAGCGGTGTCATTATACAAGGAATATAACTCTTTCCATTCCCCACCATCCAGTCAGAGGTGAAGAAGCTTCTTGGATGAGAAGCGAAACGCCTTCAAAAGAAAACAAAAAAAGTCCAGTTGCCTCCTGAAAAACAAAACAAAACACCTTTGGGACAACCATGGCCTGGATGGCTGAGAATCTCTACAAGACCTTTCTCTTCAAATTGGAAAGAGGCACCAAGGATCAGACTTTCGTTTTTTTTAAAAAATAAAGAGTTTAAGGGCTGCAAGGAAAGTTTGCAAATTGTCAAAGAAAAAAAAAAAAGGAGGGTTGGGGAAGGAAAAGTAGCTTATTATACTCAAAGAGGCCAAATTAAAATCCAGAATTAACTGTGCTTTGGGCAAGGGCTGCAAAAAGCAAAAGGCAATTTTGGCTATCGCCGCAAGTTTAATGGCTCCCCTTTTTAGTCTGGCTTGCTCAGACCCCAATTAGAAGAGTGGGTCCATTTCTAAGGCATCGTCCTTGAAGGATTTGGAGAAATGGTGCGGTGGCCTAGAACGGGAGCTCTCGCCTCACAATCAGGCTGTGAGTTCGATCCTAGGTAAAGGCAGATATTTCTCTCTCTCTCTCTCTCTCTCTCTCTCCTCTCTCTCTCTCCTCTCTCTCTCTCCACACTGAGAATATATCTACTGAACAAAACTCCGCATTGACAACAGGAAGGGCATCCGGCCATTAAAACACTCAGCGAGCTCCATTCAGTTGCTCAGGCTCCACTCCCCAAGGGATTATGGGGTCGTAAGGGATTATGGGGTTATGTTCTGACCCAACCTGGTTCCAAGAGAGCAAACACCAACCTGGTTCCAAGAGAGCCTTCCACTTTTTAAAATTTAATCTACGAATACTGTTTCTTCACAGATAAAAGGCTGCTTCCAACTAATTTAAGCTCCGACAAGAAAGAGCCTTGCCAAGTTGTTTTTTCAAGGCTGCCAAAAACCCACAGATAAGAAATAGTTTACAAGAGTTTTCAAATACTAACTATAATGCCCACGAGGCTGAGTTTCAGAGCGTCTTTGCCTTCTGCAAAGAACGCTTCTTCAAACCTGGCTTTTATCCTCTTGAGGGAGGGACCATTACCTTGCAGCCTTATTCCCGAGTTGCCCGTGCTGCTGTAACTGTTCTCTCTGAGCAATCCTGCGTACACGTGCACTGGGCACAGGCTCCTCGGGAACCTCCTCATCGCTGCTGTCAGCCCCCCCAATCTCTGAAGGCAGCAGTCCACTCCCTCATGGTCCTGGCCCTTCACCTGAGTCCTCGCTCTCCTCCACCATACGCACCTGCTGCCGGCTAACCTCAACAGGTTAAAAGATGATCCTTGAAGGATTCAGAGGCTGAGGTTGATCCGGGGACTATAAGCCAAGTTCTGTAATGACTGAAGTTGGAGGTTTAGGCCTGAGGGAAAAAAATGACTGCACAGGGCCTGTAGCTGTTCCAGAGGGGAGGATATAAAAGAACAGTTCTGGAAGGTGAGTTCCCAATAAGTTGTTTAAAAACAACACCACAAAAAATCCATTCAACAGCGGAATCAATGACTCTGAATAATTGTGGGCTCCTGAGAGGCTGGAGATCCCTCCAAGTCAGGAGTGTTCAACCTCAGCGCCTTTTTGAAGACTTGCGGACTTCAATTCCCAGAATTCCCCAACCAGCATGCTTCATTCAGATTTCTAAGAAGCTCCGGATAAGTTTGAAAGAAATTTCAGCTCCATGGAAAAATAGACGTCTCCAGGTTGATGGTAGTAGGCGGTGTGGATTCACGCGTGACAAAAGCTGATGAGCTGTTTTAACCAAGGTGGCACGGTTGGCTGGGGGATTCTGGGAGTCGAAGTCCACAAGTCTGCCAAGGTCAGAAGCTCCCGGTCTAAATGTTCTAATTGGGGTCCTGGCGCTGAATGGGACTTCACGGGATGCTTCAACTCTATGGTGGCTTTTAAAACATCCTTGAAGTTTCTTATCTAGCTTCATACAGAATAACAAGAGTTGGAAGGGACCTTGGAGGTCTTCTAGTCCAACCCTCTGCTCAAGCCATTCCAGCTAGGTTCTTCAACTATGTTGCCTTCATCTCACTCAGAATGGTGACTTATTAATGAGGAATTTCCATGCCAATTTCCTGTCCAAATCAATGTTTCCCTTTGGCCTGGAGAGAACGGAGGGCCAATGTGAATTGAAGCCCCATGTTATCTATACCCCAATGTTGCTAAACCCGGTCATGGAAATCTCCAGGCCACGACACGGTTTCACAAAAACCAAAACTTTGTTCGGGTTCTATGCTCATTTTTAACTCCACCGTTGACCCACCGCACATTATTACTCAAAGCATCTGCCTACAGAATAGTAGTCCTCAACAAAACGACAACTGAGCCCCAATTTTTTGTGTGGCTAAGTGAAAGATTTGTTAGCCAAATTTTGTTCCCGTTTTAGGACCTCTTGTGCCACGGTTGTTAAGTGAATCCCCGCAGCAGTTGAGTTCCTAGCACGGCTGTTAAGTGAATCTAACTTCCCCCACTGACTTTGCTTATAAGGCGGTCGCAAAAGGGGATCACGTCACCCTGGGACCCTGCAACCGTCATGAACAGGAATCAGTGGTTTCCAAGCATCCAAATTTTGATCACATTATGGGAGACAACCACAGTTGTGTGAAAAATGGTCACTAGACTTTTTTCCACAGTGCCGTTGTAAACTTTGAATGGTCACTAAATAGAACTGTTGTTAAGTCGAGGACGATCTGCAGTGGATTCGTCTTGCTCTATAATAAGCCTATCTTCCTCAAAATAATATGAGGAAAACCAAGCCCCCCCCCCCCCAAAAAAAGCAGAAATGGGAACATTTTCAGCATGATATCTGGCCTCCTGAGGTAAAAGCCAACCGGATATTCTGTGTTTGAATAGCCACGGAGCAGCTTCTCTCCCCTTCAGCCAGCACCTCCACCTGTCTCTCAATCATACACATTTATTTATTAAATCTGTATGCCGGCCACTTTGCTACCCAGAACAACTCTAGATTGGGGTAAATAGGGAAGCTATTTTCCAATTCAATTTACATCCAGTTTACAGGTGGTCTTCCACTTGCGACCACAATGGAGCCCAACATTTATGTTGCCAAGTGAGACGGTTGTCGTTGGGCCTCATTTCATGATGTTTTTTTTTTTTGCCACAGCTGTTAAGTGAGACATTGCAGCGGTTAAATTAGTCACACGGTTGTTAAGTGTGTCTGGCTTCCCCCTTGATTTTGCTTGTCAGGCAGTCGCTAAAGGGGATCATGTGGCCCTGGGACACCGCAACCGTCGTAACTATGAGTCAGTTGCCAAGCGCTCGAATTTTGTCCGCATGGCCCTGGGGATGCGGCAACCGTTGCAGGTACGAAAGATGGCTCCAAGTCACTTTTACCAGAGTCACTAAGTGAAGTTTGTAAGTTAAGGACTCCTTTATCATTCTTCAAATTAAAAAAAAAAAAAGCACATAAGAGAACAAGGACGACAGAGGATGGTTTTTGTAAGGAATGAATTTTATTCCAATTTCAAACAATTTATTCAGGAGAAAGCTATGAAAATCAATTTTCCATCAGGTACTTCTAAAATAAGGAGGGTCAGCACCCAGCAGATGAACGAATTCAAGTGTTCCGAGAAACCCAGCCTCTGCCTCCTCCTCCTCCTCCTCCTCCTCGCCGTCGGGAGTGCGAGACAGGAACACAAGGGAGGGGGGGGGAATACCAACCCCGGGCCACGCAATTCCAAATTCCCTCCTTTGCCCACCCTGCCCCCACGTGTTAACACCACATGCAAGTTCAAAATGACAAAAAAGGTTTTTTAAAAACAGCATTTTTATATTCTTTTTAAATAGGACGTTTAAATGTTATTCTTTTTTAAATCAGGTTCTCTGTTTATAATATACTAGTATAACCAAATAATTTTTTCACCACACTGGTACTTGTAAAAGTGTCTCTGGTACTAAAAGAAAAGAACGGGCATTGGCACAGAACCATGTAATTAATGCTTCTCTTTTTTCCTTCTTCTTCTTCTTGAAAATTAAAAAGAAAAGAAAAAGTATACAACGTACGCACACGCACACAGAGAGTACTGAATTACAGACTTGAAACGTCGGATGGTGAACTCGGCCCTTCCTTTCCGGTCAAGCAGAATCCTACACTTCCCGCCCCCCAAAAGTAGCTATAAAATGTGTCTGGAGGGAGGGGCACACGATAAAAGGCAAAAAGCAGGTGGAGAATTCAATCCCAAAGGGGAGACTGTTGGAAGGGGGGGGGGGGGGGCGGGCCCGGGGGGGGGGGGCCAAACGCCGCACCCCCCCCCCCCCCCCGAAAGGAAATGGAATGGTGTCTTTTGGCAATCCTCTTTCCGCCTGCAGTCTGACGAAGTGTGTGAGCAGGCTAGTGCTTTCTTCAGTAGGATTCTTACTTTTTTTCTTCTTTTTTTTCCTTTGTTTTCTTCATATAAAGTGCACCGTGAACAAGAACATGGTCAGACTGCTCCTGTCTTAACTTTGGCTGCCTTCGCCACACACGGGCCCGATTCCAAGGGCCCCCGCCGGTCTTTTCTTTCGGGGGGGGGGCCATCTGGAACCTCGACCGGTTCCCATCAGCCCAGCCAACGGAAGAGGAAGGGAGGAACGTTGCTGCGATGGGAGAGGAAGGTTGGCACGCTCCGGAGCAGAAACCCACCCTGGGGGGGTGGGAACTTCCATCCCGACGACGGCTGGTCCACGTAGTGCGGCTTTGCGAGAAAAGAAGAGCAGCCCCCCCCCCCACACACACACACACCGCACAATCTCCACGCAGCTCCCCAGCGGCTTACGGATGAAGAGCCCGCTTGGGCAGGCACGGCGGTCCGGGATGGAGGCCCGTTTCCTGGAAAGGCGATGCCGAGAGTGATGGGCCAGGCGCTCCCAATCCGAGTCTCCCAGGTCCAAGGGCTGCAGTGAAAGCCCGCCGCAGAGGCAGGGTCTCATCACGCCATCCAAGAAAGAAAACACTTCCAGGGAGGGGCTTCCGAGAGTTTAAAGTCATGGCACCTTTGCAAGGACAGAGTTTCCCCTTATGGAAAGTCAAGTCTGGTGGGGTCTTTGGGCGAGAAGACAACATTCGACATTCCTCTGCCTATCGGGGGGATCCGTTCGTTTCCCCCCCCGCCCCAAACCCCTAAAACACAGTGTTCCCCCCCCCCACAAGACATTTAGATCAACACAATTAAGAAAAAGTCAGGAATGTTGGTGACATTGGAAAATAGCTCCATTTCTTCCCCCCCCACACCGCCCCCCCATCAACCCAACAAGCCCTTTTGTGTAGTTACTCTGTAGTAACTGACGGTTACTTTCTCCCAATTTTAGCAACTTCTCATTCACTGTGTGTTGTTGATACAATGCAAGGGTAAGCGGGAGGGGCTCCCCTCACCCCACCCACCCCCCCCAAAATGCAGCTCTCCCTGCCCCGGCTTCTTTCTGTAGTGTTCCACAAAAAAAGGGGGCGATCCCAGAGAGCCAAAGGCAGCACCCGCTCCCACCCCCCCCGCTGGAATGCTGCAAATGTCCATGCGAAATTAGTGTTGTTGTGTCGAAGCAAAACACGCCCCCTCAAACCCTTCATTAACATCTCATGCGCGGAAGTCCACTAGTGTCGCCCGTTGCAACGTGACAAAAAAATTTTTAAAAAGGGGAGGGGGAAAGCACATCGGACGCTCCCATCCTTTCCCAGGGATCGGCCCGTTTGTCCCATTGGTGAAAAAAGGCTGTTTCTCGCGGCATCTGTAAATGTGACGGTTGGCAGTTGCGAGATGCTTATATTGTGTTGCCGCTACCCGGGATCTCCGGAAGAAGAGAGGGAGACCGACTAATTTCTCTAGATTCCCTAGTTGGGTCCTGTGGCCATCTGCCTTCCGAAAAGACTGGCAAAAGTTTGGGGTTTGGCACTGGCTCGGAGCAGGGCACACATTTGGCACTCAGCCTCTCAAAAAGGGACCCCTCTCACCTGGTCCACTTCAAAGCTACACCTATAAAACCACCTCTATTCCACAGGTCCCTTTGGCTGGGCTCTCCTTTCCATGCACGTTCCTGGGCACCCCCAGAGCGAGCAGGCTTCCAAGAGAGAGAGAAAGAGAGAGAGAGAGAGAACGGGGTCAAGAAGATGGGAGGATGGATGGCAGCAGCTGCCAATCACACCAGCCTTGGCACTGTCATTCAAAGGCCTCCCTTGATCTGGCTGCAATCACGCCAAGAGCGGACAGACCTTTCCAATACTTTTTAGGACCAACAAGGCAAAAAAAAAGGTTGCTTCAGTTTGACTCAGAATGCAGACACCATCTTAACCCCACCCCGACCAAACACTGGGTCAAGATTTTTCCCAATCCCAAAGGGTTAATTTGCAAAACACACACACACATACATATACACACACACACACACAAACGATCCAAGAGAATGAGTCAAAACCTCAAATCTTCCTTCCGGCCCAAAATCTGGCGCAGATTTCGGATTCCCACCAAAGGGATTTTCTCACGTTGGGTGAGAAGCAAATTTTAACTTTCTTCTTCTTTTCTTTTTTTTTTCAAACACTAAATTGGAAAACAGGAAAAGAAAAAAAAAGGATAACAAAACAAAAAAAAAAATGCAATCAGGCACTTCCCTCAGGCTTGATAGCTATTGCTTGGTTGGTAGTCAACAAACGAAAGTTATAGCACATGTAGCAAACTACGCGTAGAACAATAATTTAAAAAAAAAAATATCACAGTCTCAATAGAACTTTCGGAGGGAAGGAAACTAAATCAAGAGAATAAAAAAGCAACGAAAGAACGCGGGAACCAAAAAGACGGCTTGTTTTGCACTTGTCGCAAACTGGGTTTTCCTCTGACGATGTCATCTAGGGTAAACCCTTTCGGCACATAATCCTTACAGTCAAGATGTACAGGGAGGGAGGGGGGGGGGAGGACTCACCCCAGAGGCATTATATGGCACAGAAGCTGAAGGTCCTAGCTACATTTTATACTCCCACAGCCGAATAAAGCTCATTATTTTGGCTTGATGGTCTGGGATACGTTTATCGCCAGATCAGACAGGAAAAAAAAAAAAAAGGAATTTACTAATGCAACGTACAAAGTCTGAGAGGAAACCGCCTTGACTGCTGGCAACAAAGCAGGAAATTAACAAGGTGCCAGAGAGAGAGAAAAAAAGTGAAGCATGTCCCCCACTGTTTTTAAACTGTGAAATAAAAGCAATTTCTTTCTTTAAAAAAAATCCGTGGGGCGGACATGAGACCGAAGGTAACGGTGTGCTTTAAAAAAAAAAAAAAAGGAAAACAAAAACAAAAAAAAACTTTTTGCCACTCCACAGATCAGACAATTTGCAATCATTACATCATTAAAAATCAAGGTCGTTTTCCTGTTGGGTTTAAATTCATGGGATTCGTTTGCCTTACTTTTCTTCACGACAAAAGGTCTCCCAAAGAGATTAAGGGAGGGGCGGATCGGGAGGGCGGGAGAAGAGGACAGATTCATTCAAGGTCAGACTAGGTTATATTCCTTCAAGTTGAGTTGCAGGATGGTGTCCTTGACGGCAGCAAAGACAAACCGGATATTTTCCGTATCTGTGGCACAGGTGAAGTGAGAGTAGATAATTTTATCGCTGTCGGGGTTGAGATCCACAAACATTTTGAGGATAAATTCCCGGGCTGCTTGAGCGTCTCTCTGCGGGCCTGGAGGAAAGAATGGGAGAGAACCAGGATTAGAATGAGGAGAAACCCCTCTGGTCAAGAGCAAGCTGCAGGTAGTCCTCAATTTACAACAGCTCATTTAGTGACCAAAGTTAACAATGGTACTGAAAAAAAGTCACTTATGCCCAATTTTTCATAATTACGACGATTGCGGCATCCCCGAGGTCACATGATTTCCATCACGTTTAGGACAGTTGCAACCTTCTGGCCAGCAAAGTCAACGGGGTGGAATCCAATTTGCTTAACAAGCGTGTCACTAATTTAAGAGCTGCAGTGAGCCACTTAACAAATGTGGCGAGGGAGTCGTAAAATGGAGCAAAGTTAAGGGAAACAAATGTCTCACTTGAAGCATATAAATTTTGGGCTCAATGGTGGTCCTAAGTTGAGGACCACCTGTATTCTTCCATTTGTGACCTCACAAGGATGGAGCTCATTCTCACTCTCCCGAAATATCATTGTCTCCTCTAGGAGACACCTGGGCATCTTACTGGCCTGTGTCACGTCAATCGAAAATTAGAAATCAAAGGTAAGTAAAGAGTACGCCATGCAGGCAGTCCGGGTGGTCCTCAACTTACGACCACAATTGAGCCCAACATTTCTGTTCCTAAGAGAGACATTTGTTCAGTTTTGCCCCCATTTTACAACCTTTCTTGCTACAGTTAAGTAAATCCCTGCAGTTGTGAAGTGAGTAATAAGGTTGCTAAGTGAATCTGGCTTCCCCGTAGACTTTGCTTGTCAAAAAGTGGGGAAAGACAATCACACGACTGGGACACTGCAACCGTCATAAAGATGAGTCAGTAGCCAAGCGTCTGAATTTTGAACATGTGATCATGGAGATGCCCCAACCGGGGGAAAAAAATGCTCTTAAGTCACTTTTTTCAATGCTGTTGTAACTTTGAATGGCCACTAAATGGACAGTTGTAAGTCAAGGACAACTGCATTGCTTTTATTTTGAAGGCAACTATCTTTTTTTAAAAAAAGTTACATATGTGGTTGCATGTGTGCCTACGCACCTTCACAGCTACACCGGTTCAGCCTTCCACAACAGTCCCAGTTTCTCATGGGGCCTTTTCAGAAAATGAATAGCCCCGTCCTGCTCCAGAGAGAGACAAAGCCAATCACCTCTCCCTCGCTAGAAACGGATGGGGGCACTATCAACAAGTCGGTTCTGACAAATAGGCTACTTTGAAATTTATTACAAAAGTTTAGCCTCTCAATTAGAGGTCAAGTTGCTTCCTGCCTGTCCATCCTAAATGCCAGCTTCCAGAGTTGGGAGGAAAGGTTCAAAAATAGCAACAGCACTTAGACCAGGGGGGTCAACCTTAAGGCCCGCAGGCCTCTCAGTGTGGTCAGATCCGGTCCGCGGGGCCGGCCTGCATCGCGCTTCAACCCAGCTTACCCAGTGCGAAGAGGAAACAGGCCAGCAGTTTAGGGAGTGGTGTCAAGTTGGCCACACCCTCCCAGTTGGCCACGACCCAACCCCGGGCCCGCTGAGGTCAACCCCAGCCCTGATGCGGCCCTCAATGAAATTGAGTTTGACACCCCTGACATAGACTTATATACCGCTTCACGGTGCTTTACAGCCCTCTCTTAGTCGTTTACAGTGTCAGCTTATGGCCCTCAGCAATCTGGATCCTCATTTTACCCACCACGGAAGGATGGAAGGCTGAGTCAAAATATATATATATAGATATCAACCCTATTTCCTGGGACTCAGCCTCCTTCCTTGGGGGGAGCTCTAGAAAGAGGGAGCACTCAGGAAAAGTAGCTTTCTACTGCATCCACCTCTACAAACTAGCAGGCCAATGTAACAGTTTGAAGCAGAGGTGCCTCCCGCGTGTTTCTGAAGCTGCCCTTAAACAGAAGGGGGTGCTACTACTGCCTGATCCCCTATTTTAATTACTGAAAACTTAACTTCTTACCATCGAACTCTGGGAAATAGTCCACAAGGTGAGAGTACATGATCTTGTCTTCCAAGAGATCTTTCTTATTGAGAAAGAGGATGACAGAGGAATTCTGGAACCAGGGATAGGTGATGATGGTCCGGAAAAGGGCTTTGCTCTCCTCCATGCGGTTCTATAAGGAAAAGCAGGTGTTTTTGTTTTTTTTAGATCCAGGGATGAAACAACAACAAACAAACAGGTAAATAAGGATGACATCATTTTGGAGGAGCCTTGTTCAGGTCGTCCTCGACTTACAATCACAACTGAGCCCAACGTTTCTGCTGCTAAGCAAAACGGTTGTTAAGTGAGTTTTGCCCCATTTTACGACCTTTCTTGCCACAGTTGTTAGGTGAACCACTGAAGTTGTTAAGGTAGTGAGCCCAGCTGTTAAGTGAATCTGGCTTCCCCTTTGACTTTGCTTGTTTGAAGGTCATAAAAGGTGATCCCCTGACACACACACACACCCCCGGGGGGATAGGCAACCATCATATACACGAGTCAGTTGCCAAGCATCTGAATTTTGATCACATGGCTATGGGGATGCTGTGACCATCCTAAGTATGAAAAACAGGCATTAGTCCCTTTTTGCAGTACTGTTATTACTTCAGTCACTAAGTGAACTCTTGTAAATCGAGGACCACCTGTACATCTGTTCCCCGTTGTCTCACAAAAATGTTTGCCGCAACCGTTTTCAACCATACCTTCATTCACCGTTTCTCAACCCGAGAAACCATCCCTGCAATCAAATGATCGTGATTTGGGGGCATGGAAACTACGATAGTTGCAGTCACATGATCATCATTTGCGACCTTCCCAGTTTGGCTTCCGATAAGCGAAATCAATAAAGAAACTGGCATGGAGGGTTATCAAGTCCCAGTCATGTGTTTCGCTTAATGAACACAGCAAAAAATAAAATAAAATCATAAAATTGGTCAGAGTCCCTTGATGCCTGAATTAAGGACTGCACTCCTCACTGATAAAACTTTCCTTCCCTATTGGGAGTCGTAACTCGAGAACTGCTTGTACAGCTAGTCTTTGGCGGTTCATTTAATGACCGTTCAAAGTGACAACCCCACTGAAAAAAGTGAACTTATGACCAGGTCTCACACTTACGACCGCTGCAGCATTCCCACATTCATCTGAACACTTTGGCTGCTTTGCAACTGGCAGGTATTTAGCCTGATAAGCAAAGTCAAAGAGAGAAAGCCAGGTTCGCACAACTTGTATAATTCACTTCCCAAGTGTGAAGTGATTCGCTTAACAACCATGGCCAAAACAAGATTGCAAAATGAGGCACGACTCACTTCACCTTGCTCAGCAACCAAGATTTGGGGCTCAGTAGTGGTCGTAAGTTGAGGATTACTAGAGACTATCTCTCCCCGATAAAGAGCTTTTAGCTGTCTCTAAGTGGTCATTCTGTTCAAGCCAAAAACCCAGAGATATATTTCGTTCCCGAGGGCAATAGAAGAAGAAGGGGACGACAGAGAATGAGGCGGCTGGGCGGGAGTCACTGAAGCAGTCGGCGTGAGCTTAAATGGACTCCGGAGGATGGCGGAGGACAGGAAGGCCTGGAGGAACGTTGTCCATGGGGTCGCGATGGGTCGGACACAACATGGTTCCATCTATAGCAAGAAGTTACCAAAAAAAAAAACCCTAGAAAGCAAATTGGATGCCCTAAAAATCTCCACAGGTTTTTGGGCACTAAGCTTTATTGCTTCTTAAATGTAGCTGCACACAGGTAGTCTTAGACTTACAACAGTTCATTAAGTGACCGTTCGAAGCTACAACGGCAAAAAGTGACTTGTGACCATTTGTCACACTTATGAAGGTTGCAGCATCCCTCAGGTTGCACAATTTACATTCAGATGCTTGGCAACTGGCTCACATTTATGATGGTTGCAGTGTCCTGGGGTCTCGTGATCCCCTTTGGCGACCTTCCGACAAGTAAAGTCAATGGGGAAGCCAGATTCACATAACAACCCGGTTACTAATTTAAGAACTGCAAGGATTCACTTAAAAACGTGTCAAGAACTTTCTTGCTTAACAACCTAAGTGTTGGGCTTAATTGTGGTCGTAAGTTGAGGACTACCTATATACCTTGCATTATCTTTTCCCCCGAAGTTTTGTTTCCTCCTGATTTTACAGCACGCCTTTCAAAAAAGAAATCCTGAAAGAAGGTTAAAATCAGCAAACAAAGGAACAACTTCAAGTCTGCCTGCTCAAAAAGAATAAAATTACAGAGCTGGGAGGGACCTTGGAGGTCTTCTAGTCCAACCCCCTGCTTAGGCAGGACTATATTATACATGGGTATCCAGGCCTGTCTCCTTGTTGTTTTCATGTGAAGGGAGAATGGATTGCAAGGTTTGATGAGAAGTGGGGGGAGTCAAATGTTTGTTGATTTTCTATATATTCGGGGTGTGAATAGCACCTTGGCATCCACCAGGCCCTCATGGCCCAACACCCAACGAAGAACCCTTCAGGGCCACAAATGATCACTTTGGAAGCCAAGTAGCAATCTTGGATCGCCACCCATATTTTGTGGGTCATTCTCAGCAAAGAGAACTGAAGAGAACATCTAAGTCCTTCCTCTAAGGCAGCCCTTCTACGAGACCCCGCTTTAAAATAAAAATAAAAAAATAAAAATCTTAAGCTCCTCTGCCCAACTGTTATTCCGCCCTGCAGATGACTTTAGACAAACCTATATAGTAATAGCAATAGCACTTAGACTTATATACTGCTTCAAAGTGTTTTTTTTTACAGCCTTCCCTAAGCGGTTTACAAAGTCAGCATATTGACCCCCAACAATCTGGGTCCTCATCTTACCCACCTCGGAAGGATGGAAGGCTGAGTCAACCTTGAGCCTGAAGAGATTCGATCTGCCAAATTGCAGGCAAACTGGCTGCAGTAGAAGTAGCTTGTAGTACTGCACTCTAACCACTGTGCCACCGAGGCTCTTATATGTATAAATAAATATACATAATAAATGTTCAGAGGAAAGTGGCTGCAGGCTCAGCAACTGAATGAGTAAACCACAGTTCCCCAATATTTCCAACTCCGCGGACGAGTGGAGGAGAAAAATATTTCCATGCAATCCAATCTGTCACACCAATGGAGCGTGTGTGCAGGCCCTCTCCGGCCACTCGCACAAGTGGGGGGGGGATGCACACGTACACGCTCGCCTGCCATTTCCGCAACCTAGTTGCATACATGGGCACCCCTGGAGTAAACTATAAGTAGTCCTTGATTTATGACCACAACGGAGTCCAAAATTTCTGTTGCTAAGCGAAGCAACTGTTAAGTGAGTTTCCCCCTCCATTTTACGACTTTTCTTTTTCCTGCCTAAAACTTATAACTGCTGCATTTAAGTTATTGCAGTAGTTGAGTTAGTAACAGAGCTGCAAAATAAATCTGGCACCCCTGCTGACTTTGCTTGCCAGAAGGTCGTGAACAGGAGACCACCTGACCCGAGTGGGATGCGGCAACCATCATAAATTCATGCCTGCTGCCAAGCGTCTGGATTTTGATCACGTGACCGTGGAGGTGTTGTAACAGTCGTAAGTGTCAAAAACGGTCGTAAGTCACTTTTTTGGGTGGCGTTGCGACTTTTGAATGGTCCCTAAATGAATGGCTATAAGCCGAGGATTTCCAAAGTCATTTTTGCTCACCCTCATGCTCCAGGATGAAAGGTGACAAATGCTGGAAAAGGCACACTCGCTAGCGTGTCCCAAATCGTCTCTTTAAAAGTACGGGACAAGGTAGCTTCCCAGCTGCTTCGCCATCCACAGCAGAGCAAACCCCGCACGCCAAGGCCGGCCGCTAGTCATTTCTGCTTACCTCGTTATCAGATTCCACCAGGACTTGGTCGTATTCACTAAGAGCTACTAAGAACATGATGGAAGTTACATTTTCAAAGCAGTGTATCCACTTCCTCCTTTCTGACCTTTGCCCACCAACATCCACCATTCTGAAGAGACAGACCAGGGGAGGGGGGGGGGAAACAACAGTGAACGCTCATTGATCTGTCAACGCTCCCGATCCCCGAGTCGCCTCCCTCCCCAAACAAGGGTATCCTATACGTTGCCAACAGCAGAACTGTTGGGGACCAGCGAGGCTGGTGTGCAAAAGATAGTCTGTGTAGTGATGCTTATTTCCTTTAGATTCCCTGCTATACAATTTATCTTTTTCCTAAAGGCTTCTAGTCCTTATGCTAATATGCTATTACACTGCCACTAGGGGAAAGAAGGGGCAACTGAGCCCTCTGTCCAGCTTTCCTGCAAAGGCTCTTCCCGATTATCGTTGTACTGAAGAGCCAGGAAGCACCCCACTCTGCAGGAATGAGATCAGGTTTGAGGTGCTGCTGCGTATCAGGGATTTCCAACCTTTGCAACTTGTGCACTTCAACAGGGTTGGCTGAGGAATTCTGGGAGTTGATGTCCACAAGTCATAAAGTTGCCAAGGTTGGACACCTCCATTGTAGGTGACTCTAGTCCGAAGTCATTAAAATAGAGTAACAGAGTTGGAAGGGACCTTGTAGGTCATCTAGTCCAACCCCCCGCCCAAGCAGGAGACCCTACAACATTTCTGACAGATGGCAGTCCCGTCTCTTCTTGAAAGCCTCCAGGGATGAAGCTCCCACAACTTCCGAGGACAACTTCTGTTCCACGGGTTGATTGTTCTCCCTGTCATAAAGTGTCTCCTTATTTCCAGGTTGAATCTCTCTTAGTTCAATTTCCATCCATTAATTCCTTGTCTGGCCTTCGGATGCCTTGGAAAATAGCTTGACCCCTTCCTCCTCTTTGTGGCAGCCCCTCAAATATTGGAAGACTGCTTTCATGGGATCCCTGGTCCTTCTCTTCTCTAGACTATCCAGGCCCAGAAGGCTGCTGACAGATTGGAAGAGGTCCATGGGGGAGCAGCGAGGATGATACGGGGGCTTGAGAATCTGCTCTGTGAAGACAGGCTGAAGGGACACGAGTTTCTGCCTCTTCCATCCCTTTTTTCCTAATCTATCCCTTGCTCGTGTTGACATGTCTAAAGCATGTGAATTTTTTGGTTTATTTATCTATTTACATATATCCCACCCTTATTATTTTCAAAAATAATTCAAGCGGGGAACGCACACCATATCCCTGCCTCCTCCTATTTTGTCCACAACAATCGCCCTGTGAAGTGAGTTGGGTTCAGAGACCGCAACTAGCCCAAGGTTACCGAGCTGGCTTTATTGCCTAAGGTGGGACTAGAACTCACAGCTGCCTGGGGATTGTCCCAAGGTCACCCAACCGTTTTTCATGCCTAAACCGGGATTAGGAGTTACCATCTCCCAGTGATTGTCTCAATTTACCCACCGGCTTTCATGCCTAAGGTGGGACTAGAACTCACAGTCTCCTGGTGATTGGCCCAGCTGGCTTTCGCGCCTAAGGCCTGACTAGGCGTCCCTGTCTCCTGGTTTTTAGCCTGATGCCTTCACCGCCATTATTGCCATAATTAATGCCATTCGTTCAGTCTGAGCATGTAACTGCAACTAGCCTCTCATCCTTGCAAGGATCATGGAACTTGGATAAGGCAACAATCCTCGTGTTGTTGAATACTTTTATCCTTAGAGGCTCGAAGAACATCAGTTTGGGTTAAAAACACTGAGCTAGAAATCAGGAATCTCTGAATTGCAATTTATCCTCTCCCTGTAATGCATAGAGTCAGCTGGATAACTTTGACCCAGATGATCTCTCTTCGCATCAGAAAGAAGGTATTGGCTAAACCTTGCCAAAACTGGGGATTCATCCGAACAATCACCAGGAATTCAACTGATTTGAAGGCATCTCCCAAAAAGAGGTTCAAAAGGCACCTTCGTTTCTCTTTAGGAAGGTTATGAAAACTTCCTTTTTTTAATGAGTTTTTTTTTTTTAGCTCTGGCATAAGACACTTCCCTCTATACCTGTATATATTTGTTTTTATCTTTAACTATTTTATTGGTTACAAAGATTTGGTTTGTTATTACTCTGTAATCCATTGCCCAGGGTTTTATGACTGAGTGGATTAACAAATATAAGAGACAGACAGACACAAGGCAGGCCCAGGACTGAATGACGAATCCTTGCTATTCAAAATAAGAGCATTACTAAACCTGGTAACCATCTCAAAATCCGTAATTTAAAAGCGTCTTTTTGCTTTCTCTCACTCTTTTTAAAGCTCCAGGTTTAATAGCCATATATTACCATTGGGAAAACTGCTGCTTTATTGTTATGATTCTTGTTGTCATAGAAATCCTTCCTAATCTTATCTCTGTTTGTCATTGCTTTCCTTCCTAAGATTGATCTCCTCTTTATGTCTCCAGCAAGCTCTACCATGTTTATCTATTCCTGAGCCCAAGAAAACAAATACAACCCCCATCTTCCTTCATTTCTACAGCAGCGAATTCACGTTGGTTTTATCTTTTTAATATTTAACATGAACTCGGATTAGTCACTTCCCATTGTTAGTGTTTATAATTAGGTTTTCTAGCTCTTCTTTACTTTCTGCGAGTGTAACCTGCGTACCTTAAGCAACGCTGCCACAATAATTGTTGATTCCCACTTTTCTAATCCTGCCACTCTTACATCACACTTTAATTTACAGAGATGGCAATAACATGAATCTTTCCTGTTCTGAACTACTCAAAATTCAGCAGCTTCTAGTTCCCCTAAAACAGGGGTGTCCAACCTTGGCAACTTTAAGATCTATGGACGTCAACTCCTGGAATTCCCAGCTAGTTGGGAATTCTGGGAGTTGAAATCCACAGGTCCTAAAGTTGCCATGGTTTGATATCCTGTCCTAATGGTACAACCACCACCAAGTGTTCTGATTCATAATTAGCCTTAATATCTTTTACATTCTGGCATAAACTAAGCAATCATATAATCAATAAACAAAAGCAAGCCTTCCTGTATTGTCTGTCTTTTGTTAGAAAGCTGGTCTTGGCTCATTTGACATTTCTCCCTCCTTCTGTTATTCTACTATCCTCTTGCAAGAGCTCAATACCATTTTTCTCATGTTAGTACTGATTCAAAAAAAAAATGCTTTCTCTTTCAACTCCCTTCTTCAATCATTCATATATATGTGTGTGTGTGTGTCTCAATCCTTTCCAAACCTATGGTCACACCATTTTGTTCCATATTTTTGGATAACATATTTGACAGCATATTTGCTTGTCCTTCCTCTAACTCTTTAACTGTTCTCCTAACATTTAAATTGGCATTACAGCTGCTCCTGTACTGACTTACTGTACTGTCTCTCGTATCTCACTTTCCGGTGATGTCAGATTTAATTTCTCTATAAAAGTTTCTCTGGTTCTATAATTCTGTTTCCCACTAAAGGTTTCTGTATAGTTTCTCCATCTTCCTTCTAATAGGCCTGTATTAAGTCCCTTCCTTAATTATATTTGAGGAATTTTATCTTGGCTGCACTTTTTCTGAATTTTTTTATTTTATTTTATATTGATTTTTTGTCCTTTTCACGTTTAAGGTTTCCTGGTTTCTGGCCCAATGCCTTGACCACTAGACCAAGCTGGCTCCCATCGGAGGTAATGTTATGGAGGGTATTCCTGATGACATTGTGGTCAGGGTCAAAAAAGCTCGAGAGTTCTTCCGCCACATTAAAGTGACAATCTCTTTGGAAAGCTTCATTTATCAACAAGACACATCAACAAGATACAGAACAACATGGCTAAGAAAAGGCATCTGCTTCCCCAAACTCCACAGACACATGTAATCGTACTATGCTTTTATATAAAGTACCATGTAAATATCAGGTGTCCATGAAAAAAAGTTACCTGAATATAATGTTCTCGAGATCAAAGGGGTATTCTATGATCCCAGTTGTTGGGACTCTGACCCGCAGGACGTCTTGTTGGGTTGGGAGGTACCCTTGGGTGGCAATACGATCCACATCAGTAAGGTAGCTACAAAAAGCATGTATAAGGGAAAGATTGAAGAGGCTTAAGTTTGGCAGCCACACTAAATGCCTTTGAGAAGAGAAGATTATAATGGAGAATGATAAAAGAGCTCTGATACAGAAGGACTGCTCAGTTGCCCAAACTTTCAAGGCTGGTTTCCACCAATATCCTACATCCAAGAATATAGAATTTATATCCTCTGTTGTGGCAAGGCACAAATACTCCCAAACCTTTTATCGAACTTCCCATCACCTATAAAGATAGGTGTTCTCCTGGTTACAATTCACCCAAAGACAAAAATACAAGGCAAAGGATGTAGCTGTGAATTTTTCAGCCAGCCTGACTGGGACATTTTGGGAGTTGAAGTTCACAAGTCTTAAAAGTTGCCAGGTTTGGAGACCTCTAAATTACAGTATCAGCCGCTCCCTTCTGAAGAGAGGGAGGTGATTTAACACCCCAATTCCTAAGCTGGATCAATGTTCCCTAGATTGGTGGATCTGGTTGAGAAGGAGCTGAGAGTTGCAATTCTACACGATAAGAAAGCTTTGCTCCCTCAACGGCTATTCTTTAGGTGTGCAGGGAAGAGAGGGTGGTACATTTCATATATATATTTTCACCAAATGCCTCCAGTCCAGATATATTAGGAATTGCACACAGCTGGGCATCCCATCTACACAACTTGATGCATGGAGCAAGAAATCCAACCTGGATGCTACTCAGAGGCACAGCATGAAAATACCAATGTCGAAATGAACATGAGATCCTGAAACTTGTCAGATTGCAAAAGAAACCTTGATCAATACAAACAACAAAACTATGGCCTTACTCATACCACAACGTAAGATCAAAAGGGAAGGACCATCAGCATAGAGCAGGGGTCTCCAAACTTGGCAACTTTAAGGCTTGTGACTTCAACTCCCAGAATTCCTCAGTCAGCTATAGCTGGCTGAGGAATTCTGGGAGTTGAAGTCCACAACTCTTAAAGTTGCCAAGTTTGGAGACCTCTGCCATAGAAGCATATGTGTTCTGCGTAGCTCTTTCAATAGGACTATCAATAAATATCAAGCAAATTAAGACTGCAAAATCTTTAAGTTCAAATATTTTCTCCCACACCACCACCGTTGCCTCAACACCAATATTTCCTTACCACTTTACTCCAATGAAAGACCAAGGAGCTCCAAAGGCAAATATTATCCTGGGAGCGCACTCTATGCTCAGAACACAGAAAATAACCATCTACTCTATTTTGTCCTATTCCTCTAAGTCTGAGCACCACCATTCAAAAGGAGCAGGGACAAATTGGAGCAGATTCAGAGGAGAGCTAGCAAGATTCAAAGGAGACTGGAAACCAAGCCCTATACAGAACGATTAAGGGATTCAGGTACGCGTAGCCTGCAGACATTACAACTGAGGGCAGATACAACATCATCAAATACACAATACTGTAATAATGTAAGAGCTTGTTTGTTACATAGGAGGAATGGTTTCTATAGTTCCAAAAGAAAGAACCAAACCAATGGATTAAAACTATATAGAAGAGAATTCAGGCTACTCAACAAGAGGAACTTCCAAAAGTCCCTCTTCCTTTTAAATTTTCAGAAAGGGAAGATATAAAAAAGTGACAGTAAGTTGGCTTACTATTTAGCGGAGTCAGAGAGCTGGTATTCTCGCCGCCGGTCATAGCATTCTTGGATTCCTGGGTCATTCCACAATGTCTTAATTGCACTTACATAGGGTTGTTCAAAGGACGAAACCTTTTCTACATCCACTTCTCGGATCAGTAGTGCATTGGCCTTCATTCGGGATGAGAGGAGAGAGCAAATCTGGTGTTAATGGCTTACTTGGATTTTATCCCTGCCCTTTCAACAGGAATTGCCTTCTATTTACTCTATGGAGATTCTCAGTCATCCACACCATGGTTGTCCCAAAGGTGCTTTTTCAAGAGGCAACTGGACTTTCTGGTTTTTCTTTTGAAGACGTTTTGCTTCTTATCCAAGAAGCTTCTTCAATTCTGTTCTCCGAAATTCAGTATTTCAGAACTGAAGAAGCTTCTTGGATGAGAAGTGATACATCTTCAAAGAAAAACCAGGAAGTCCAGTTGCCTCTTGAAAAAGCATCTTTGGGATTTTTACTCATTTCCTTTTCCTATCCCACTGCTGGAGTTGCATGTTAACAACAACAGAGCAAGAGGATCCGGTGCAAAATTCAGCTGGTGGTCAATTCACAGTTGTTTCCCAGAGCATTTCTGCCCATAAAAAATCACCTTTTCCTCTAGACCAGGGTTGTCCAATCTGGACAACTTTAAGACCCATGGACTTCAACTTCCAGAATTCCTCAGCTAGCGTGTCTGGCTGAGAATTTGGGGTAACTAAGTCTACAGGTCTTAAAGATGCCAAGATTGAACAGCCCTGGTCTAGACCCATTGGGCATGCACCATCCAATAATATGGCATGGGATAAAAGAAATTAAAACAGGTTTATGCCTCACTACTCAGACACAGATATATAAGTAGTCCTCGACTTCCAACCATTCATTTAGTGACCGTTCAAAGTTACAATGGTACTGAAGTCACTTAAGACTGTTTTTTCACACGTACAACCACTGCAGCATCCTCATGGTCACATGATCAAAATTCAGACGCTTGGCAGCTGGTTCCTATTTATGATGGTTGCCGTGTCCCGGGGTCATACGATCAACTTTTGTGACCTTCTGACAAGCAAAGTCAATGGGGAAAGCCAGATTCACTTAACAACCATGTTGTTAACTTAACGCAGTGATTCACTTAACAACTGGGGCAAGAAAAGTCGTAGAATGGGGCTAAACTCTCTTAAGAAATGTTTCACATAGTGGGTTTGCAGGGCTTCGGCGGCAGGCAGGAATCCGCGATCGTGCGCGGTTTCTGCCTGGGCTCGCCGCTGGAGCGCCACCCCCTAGAGGTGGTGAAGAGGGGGGAGATCACTAGCAGGGTCGAGGAGAGCCGCATCTCTCCTCCTCAGCTGGTCAAACTCCCTTTCCCGAAGGCGGTAGGAGCGGTGGTCAGAAATGGCCACCTCAAAGAAACACTCAACCGGAAAAGAAAGTGCAGGAGGAAGATAAGAAGTGAAAGTTTTGGCTGACCGGGATAAAAAGGAACAACTAAGGTACCCTGGAATTTAAATTTTATAAAAGATAACATCACTCCCAAAGAAGAGTTGGAAGCAGCGAAAGAAAGTGAAAGGGGAAAGGTTTTTTTTCTTCTCTCTCCTTCCTCACATTGACAACGAAGAGAGCTGAATAAGAAATCGGAAAAATCCGCTTTGGCACCAATAATTAAGCTGAAAATATAATTAAATGCCAAAGGGACAATAAAGATTTCTGGACACTAAAAAATCCTTTTTGTCTATAAGTAGGAAGGGAGAGGAAAAGAATAAGGGCAGGATCTGGAAGGAAGAGACTGCCTGGACTTCAAAAGAATCTAAAGTAAAATCTCAATAAGACTTCTAAAAGATACATTTTAACTGGAACTTTGTAACTAAATAGTAACCCCAGGAAGAGAAAGTGAAAAAAGAAGAAAGTGTAAAAAGAAACAGCTTGTGTGTATTTGGATTGTTTGGTGACTTTGGGATTTTTGGATATTATATTTGAATGACTAAAAACAATTGGGTGGTTGTTTAAAAAATTCTACAATGGCACTATCTCTGGATGAACTGAAAATGGAATTTAAAAAATATAAAGAAGAGACACAAGAAGGGAAGGGCTCCTTTGGCTCCATTTTTCAATTCTTAGAAATGGTGATTCGTAACTACGAGAAACAACAAGAAAAGACTGTGCAACAAGAAGATTGGGACAAAGAAGAAGCCATGTTTAATGAACAAGTAACTATATCTGGGGAAGAAAGGGGAAAGGGGGGGAAGAGAATGGAGAATTTAAGACTTAAAAAAACAACCAAAAAAAGGGAAAAATAATTTGAAAAGTGGATATAATGTTGGAAAGCAACAGAAAAGGGGAATACAGAAGAGGGAAATGGAGGTGGAGAGACGGGGGTAAAAAGGGGAGAGAGAAGAAGAAAGGGAAGAAGGAAAGGAAGAGAAGTTACAACGGTTTGGAGCAAGATGTAAAGAAACAGGACCTATTCAGAGATAATGGGTGAAAATCTAACTGAAAAAGGGATTCTGTGAAGGTACATAAGATGGTATTGTTATATTTGTAATAGAAATAATGTTAGAAAATTGGAAACAACGTATGATTAAAAAGAGGGATAAAATAGTCAGTGTAATTTAGTGAAACTTTTGTGAACAAAATAAATGAAATAAAATAAATAAGAGAATTGAATTAGGAAGGAACGGGAACATTTTAATTACTCAATGTTTTATAAAATATAAGTGAAGTGGGGGGGAATTAACTATGGAAAGTTTATAAGTGTTCCCATAGAAGTATGATATTTATCTGAAAAGTAATGTGTAAAATGCTAAGATTTAAATGAATATTAATATTAATGATAGAATTGAATTGGTATGGATTGTTGTTCTAATTATATTATACATTTATAATTTTTTCTTTTTTTAAAATACAGTGTGTAGTTTTAGAAAGTACCAAGCAGAATCCGAACGGAAGTTATGTATTATATTAAGTGTTATAATTTTAGGGCAAAGATATAAAGGCGTCATACTCCAATCAGTGATTACAGGAGAAATTTTGTTTAATGAGAAAAGATAGTAGACAGATGAAACAGGACAGACAAAGAATATAAGTACAATGATTTGAATTGAGATGAAATAAATAAAACAAAATTAAGAAAGTTAAAAGAGGGGAGAAGCTATATTGAAAATGTAGAATAGTAATAAGATATGGAATGGAATATAAAAATGAGCATGAACTTGAATTTGTGTCCGTACGAAGAGATGTAACCCGGGATCAAGCTGCTTTCAAAAAAGATGTTTTATGTTTTTATGTTTTATGTTTTGTTTGTTTATGTTTGTTTTCAAAAATCAATAAAATTTTCAAAAAAAAATGTTTCACATAGCAATATACATTTTGGGTCCAACTGTGGTAGTAACTCGAGGACTACCCATACTTTGATTCTTACAAAAGCCAACTTATGAATATAGTTTGCGCTGCTCTTTGAGGTCTCTGAATTATGGATTCTGCACAGCCCACCTCTGCAAAGTGGACAGGACAAAGAAATGCAGGCTTTTGTGTTTGTAAACTAGACAGGCTTATTGTTATAGAAATGGCTTGCACATACTGCTGTGTGAAAGCAAAAAGTTGTGGTTGTAATGTTGTTACCTTCTACTGTGCTAAAGAGAGTCAGGAGTCGGTGCCCTTTTCTTTTCTCCCATTATACTATATCCCTTCTTTTTCCTTCCATCTCTTACTTTGTGATACTCTTTCTTTCTATTTTATACTTCGACAAACTAACAAAAAGTTTAAATTGGGAGAAAAAAAGGACAAAGAAATGCAGACTGCTCTGCAGCAATAAGCCTCACCTTATTTTGCTCATATTTGTATAGGATCTTTAAGGTCTCCATAGCCCTGATCATTGACTGCATGGCAGTGAAGATATTCTGGTACACCAGTTTGGTGAAACCCTTTTTATCCTCTTCAGAGTAGCCCGAGCCATGGATTATCCGCATCTGTTTAATGAAGGTGCTTTTCCCACTTTCTCCCGTGCCTGAAAAAAGAAATGGGGGACAGATAGTTGGGTTAAAATAGGTTTTAAAACACAGCAACTTTAAATGGAAGTTTTATTTTGTCTTGCTTTATTTTCTGGCACGAACTTTTATGATCCAATTTGTTTTTAAGAGCCAGCCGGGCAACATGGGGATAAAGCAGCCTGCAAAAAATCCTTGTAAAATAGAATGATATGCTTATAATAGAAACTGGCCCTTCTTTTCAAAACAGAAGGAAGGTTAATTCTATGTTACAATCCTAGCGGTAAAAGATCCTCACGTCAACCTTTCAGCGGAAGGCCTAAAAAAACTTTTGTTACCCTTCAAGTCACCCCACCCTGTAGTGAAAAGCTGCTTAGTTATGCACCGTCTTCACTGAAAGAAGAAAAGGGAGAATGAAGACGACAAACAACATACCTAAGCTTAGCATGGAGACAAGAACAGATTTTATATTACTTCTGTGACAGGAGAAAAGCATACCGTAGATGCACTGAGGCACAGTGGGATCAAGCATTGCCACTAAAACTAGTTCTGGAGTCTAGAAATGACATTTATCTTGCTCGGTTCCTTGTCGCATTTATAAAGCTGGGTAAATCACAAGCTCTCATAAATAATATGATAAATGATAACTATTCAAATTATGGGATCGTTTTCTTTAGTTGCTCAGTTCAAACAACTTTCTCTCAAACCGTCTGACTGATTACTTGTCAAAAATCCACTCTTCCTGGCTGATTTTTTGACATAGATGGAAACCAGATTTTAATTTTAATGTAGTGGAACAATTAAAACATGCCATGTTGGAAGCTTTTAAGAGGCATGCTTATTACAACATGCTTATTACAACTTCTGGCATGATCCAATGCTGTTACAGCTGTTATTGTTACAGTATTGTTACTGTTACAATACTTATTTTTATCCAATATTGTTACAGTATCTATCAAAAAGAAAAGCCAGCATGCAGAAGTTGATCAGATATATTGGGTAACAAACAGTGCAACCCCCAATTTTAATTTCATCTCAAAGTTTTGTCCAAAAAGGCTGTTGTACACCTCAGAAATTAGTCATCTAGAAAAACAAAGAGGCTCTTCTAAGCCTTTTGCCTAAAATAATCTCCTTTGGAATATTTTATTTTTCTCTAACTATTCGCAAAAGACCCAACATCACCTGGTACTTTCTTGTCATTCTGGCATAGTTTTGGTCCCTTCTAGTCACGGCTTATTTCCAGATTCAGTCAGGTGACATGTCTCCCTATAAGGCCCTGAAAATTAGCTTCCTTTGGCCAGTCTTCTAATTGTGTTTGTTGTGAGAAAGGAGGGGTTGCAACATTATATTGATTTGTAGGTCTAATTCTTTATTCAAACAAGTAAAGGCGTTTTTGAGAAGTTTGGATAACCATTTGTTGAAATGGTTTCCTGCTTAAGCAGGGGGTTGGACTAGAAGACCTCAAAGATCCCTTCCAGCTCTATTCTGGTTGATTGAAAAGCTGCTGGGTTAGCTAATAAATATGTTCACAAACTTTACTGGAATGGCAAGACTTTGAATGGGCCAATAAATCCATATGTATTTATGTACATGTGCACACATACGTATGTGGCTCTGGAAAACATTTTCAAAGCCTACAATCCCATATTAAAATTTTAGGAGGCAATATCTTCTTCCTTGTATCTCTCTCCTCAAAATTATGCATGCTTGTGTAAGATAGAATAATTTTGAATAACCACTAGATGCCAGCACCAAACTTTACAAAGGCTTTTCTCTCCCTGGTAGTTTTAAATTGGCAAGAAACCTAGAATTCTTGTCACTAATTTTAATGGCAAACATTACGACAAATATGATGGCCAAAGCAAGTGGTAACAAACAAGGCCTGTGTGGACTCAGAGCCTGTAAAGTTTTCCTCAGGTACACAGAGGAGTCACAGTGGCCAGCATTGGCCTCTGAATGGCAGAAAATGTGAGGTTTGTGGACTATCTAGATCTGGTATAAATACTAGGAACCGAGCTCTTAATCCCGGTGTGATTAATAGAGCAATTCTTCCTGCCTCACCCAACTAAAACACCAGCCAGCAACTGATTGCAGTGATCCTGCAACTGGACAAGATCCATACCAGGTTGTCTCTGCCAACCTGCTTCCTCTCTAGAAACTAAAGCTAACAACTTTGGGATATGTTTACATGACTTCACTAATTTTCTCCCTATGCAAATAGAAGATAACGTTTCTAAAGGAAACACACCAGCAGTACTTTATGTGAGTACTCACACTTTTTTTTGGCAGGGTAAAAGTGAGTGGTAAAAATTACCAGCTTATGCTGCATTAAAAAAAAATGCTCACAGAATAATAATGAGCTGATTTTTGCTTTGGCAAACAAAGGACAGCTCAGTTAAAAAGGCCTATTCTTTTCCTTCTCACGCACACACATCAACATTGACAAATCAGGACAACTTGGGGGAAAACTTTTTTTAAAATGATGACATTTTAAGGATTCTCCAGTGGGCCGGGAGGGAATCCATGAACATCGTAACTTCCTCCTAATGATGCTACGGCTCAGACAGTGAAGACGGGCACTGCTGAGAGTTTTGCTTATAAGCATAAAATCTGGGCACATTTAATAAGAGTGACCGACAATTGGAGTTCTAAATATTCTTCATAACTATGAGACTACTATAGTCAGTAAACAAAAACAAAATAGTGTAATAGATCTTAACAATTCTCAATAGTTAAAACTAATTTTGCTTTAAATAATCAGAAATAGTAATAAGTGTTATATACAAAAGTGATTTTTTAAAAATGGAAATTATTTCTATTGGAATACCTATAACCAATTAATTTGTAGGTGTCCAAAAATTTAAAATTGCCTCAAACTTGCCAAGACTGTAGCAATTTTGTTCCCAAGATTCCACGACATTACAGAGTTCTTGCCTGAAATGTTGTAAAATTTCATACAAGAAAATGAAAACTGTGCAACTCTTCAGCCATTTGTAAAGTAACTTGTAGCCACCCTCTGGAAGTGTTACAAGTGGTACATTGCCTAACCATCTTTTATTTGATGTAAAACATTGCAAATTATTGAAAAGAGATTTTGCATTATCTTCAAAACGGTGCGTGATAGTACATTTCTGAAGGTCACCTAAATAAAACCCTTTTTAAAACCTTGACAAATATCATTGAGAAAAAATGCTTCACTCAGTTAACCTTAGAAATTCCATACAGAGATGAGCAGCATAACAAACCACAGTGCTCTATTTCATCAGGAATCTCCAAACTTGGAAAATTTAAGACTTGTTGGCTTCAACTCTCAGAATTCCTCAGTTAACCATGCTGGCTAGAGAATTCTAGGAGTTGAAGTCCACAAATCTTAAAGTTGCCAAGTTGGAGATCTGGCCTGGATAGGTGGAAGCCGCCTCTTAGCTCACTTGCTAAGAATCTAATAGCCATGTCACTTAACTCAGACTAGTCATGTAAACAATTCTTAAGGCTGGTAATTGCTGTGAACTTATGTACAATGATGTAATCATATATCCATTCCAGTTGTCCAATCAGAATATTTCTAGTACATTATTAGCTAAAAAATAATGTGTTTTTTTTTAAATGGTCATTATTTCCTGACAAAACCTCACCATGTTTTCTATCCCAGCTGAGTAAAGGTACATATACCTTGTCACTTAAGGGTTACTAGCAAATGCAATCATAAAGATAAGGGGCAAAACAACAATGCCAAAGAACACAAAATAATCTAACCCAATATGGGTGCAAGAAATTGTATACACTCATGAGACAAGGCCTGAGGGGATTTCCATGATCATTCAGGCTAGCAATAGTTACAAAGTAATGTAGGATTTCTTTCTTTTAGAGAAACACCTGACAGTAACAATTCATCAATCTATCTATGTAATTTTAAGAAATACAAAAAAATATCATAGAAGAGTTATTCACTGCCTGCTATTTCATATTCCACTTTTTATGCTCTTTGTCATAAAACCCAGAGCTGAAGTCAGCACACCAATAACTATGCCTGTAACTTAAACTGTCGTACAAACTCAGAATCAGATACTTATCAAAGTTAAGTATATTTCAAAAGTAATGTCATTATTGGTATTTTTTAAAAAGATTGAATGTTTCCTCTGAATCCATCCATTTAAAATACACAGTAATACTAATGCTATATCATGCCACACAGTAATAACTAGTTGCAAAAGATTTGCTTTAATAGTTATTACTAGAGGTAAAAGAAACACCACAATCATTTGAATGAGGGCTAAAGTCTGGCAGTGTGGAACCAAAACATGAGAAGGCAAAGTTTAGTTATGGGGAAGACTGATTGTTAATGATATAAAACAGTGTTTCTCAATCTTGGCAAGGTGAAGCTGGCTGGAGAATTATGGGAAGTGAAGTCCATGCATCTTCCACTTACCAAGGTTCAGAAACACTAATATAGAAAGATGTAGTATTTTATCTGGAAATTTCCTGTTCCACAACTATAATAAGCACCCATAATGCAACAAAGATACACATTTCAAAATTTCTCTTTTCATAAGGAAAAATTACCATGGAAAAATATTCATTTAGACTTTGAAAAAGTGTAAAATATTGAAGTGTGAATCCACTGATAGGTTTTTGCCCTTTAGCTTTGAGCTGTATAAACAGAACACCAATGTAGTTGAAAATTAATTCTGGGACTGATGGACTGCATCCCTAATTCAAAACCAGTCTGAGTTAAATCTGAATCCAATACTCTTAGGAGCAGCAGAGATTTACAAATCAGTTCTGCACTTAAAAAAAAAGTTCTACTAACACCAACATCTTGGTCCTATAAGATCTGAAGTGACAGAGATTTATTTCCCCCCAAAGGTTATTTCAACTGAGAAACTGATTAATAGTGCAACTGAAAGAAAATTCACTATTCTGTGAACCCAGAATGCAATTGATGTTTACAATTCAGCAAGTCACCTGCTACCCAACGCAGGCCTTAAAAAGACTTAAAAACCAAATCTCCAAGGCAGAAGCCCCCGAAACAAGAACACAACCCTCATCGGACCTATTTTCAGTGTTATACAGGATTGAAAGGTGAAGTTTAAAACCACAACTTTAAAAATGTAGCTAAGGCTTAAAGTTCATAAATATTTTTCCTCGCCTTGAGTATGTTTCATTTGGGACACAAGGCAGGCAGGCAGGCAGGCAGAAGAGAAGCAAAAGAAAGACTGCATAAATCTATGGGAGGACTCACATCACTGTGATGGAAGCTATCAAAAATGACATACAGGAGAAGGAATAGCTCAACAGAAAAAGAAAGGAGAGCAAATTCCTTTGAAAGCATGGAAGACTGAAAATAAGGTTGCTAGGTATGAGGAAGTAATGCATCTAAACAGCACTGGCAGAGACACCCCACCAAAGGAAGAGAAAAGTCACCAGAGAGGGTGGAGAGGAGAAGGGGATAGAGGTTTTACACTTCATGCTTTTGAGAGTAAGGCAAACATTCCACACACAGATGGAGACAATTATGAAGGGGGGTGACTTTGGAACAGGGGGAGGGGGAAGCAAAGAAAGGCACTGTGAGATCCGCGTAGCTAGGAAGCAGGATATAAATTATAGAAAAACAACACGGAAGGAATCCAAAGAGTTGCAAAGAAAACTGTAAAGGAAGATGGGCAGGACAGATATCTTATATTCTATGTCTGCTCTAGGAGGGGTATGTTTTTTTACCCGAATGCAACACTTACATAAAAGGAAGGTGGCCAGTAGTCAGGAAGAGTCCCTAACTAGAGGGTTATTGGCTAGGGAATAGAGTTCCTAGCACATCTACATCATACAAGATAGTTCAGTGAAATTATAGCCTTCTCTGTCAAGATTCTGATTGTACCTGCTCTTCTTGATACCCGCTTCCTCTCCCACCAGGATTAGCCAATTCCCATTACTACTTAGACCGTGCATCTAATAATTATTACAGCGGCTACTTCAAAAGTTCTTTCCTGTTTCTTAATCAGTTTGGTTCTGTTTGAGAAATGCCATCCTCAACCTGCATATAAGCCTATCAACTGGTTCTCTGTGCCTTATCAAAGTATGCATGTTGCACTTTTTACCATCCCTTCTCTGGAAAGAGGAGACAGAATGAACCACAAGGCCAGAAAGTGTACGCTCAGACATGGAGTGTTTCTAAGAGGTGCGAGGACAGCAGAATATTAATCTCAAATTAATGGGTAATAACAAACTCCAGCAAAAAAAAAATATATTTTTTTTTTTTACAAAACTGACTACAGTTCCTTACATTCTAAAACTCTCCTGCTCAGAGTGCAAAGAAACAGGCAGAGTTTCCTGTAAGAGTTTGATGTAATCAACGTAACCTCCCCTCTCCTCTCAATCTTCTTTTCTAAACAAACTCCAATATTTTGGCATTTGAGATATTACTAAGTATGTATATCCAATACCAGCTAGGCAAAGCAAAGTGCAAAACAAACCAACAGTTATGTACGTTTTGTTTTTTTAAAAAGCTGAACATCACAGAATTGGAGTAGAGAAAACACTTGAGAAAGTGACAGAAATAAGGGTGGTTGGAGTAGGATGCAAAGCCCCACAAATAATATAAGAAAAAACTGGATGACAGGGAGTGAAATTTAGAGTCAAGGCAGAAAAAAAGGTGCAAATGAAGATATAAAAATCAACAAGATTTTAATGAGCACAAATCCTAGAAAACTACTCCTGCTGCCAATTAAAGTAGCTCCAGTAAAACATTACACAATCAATAATCAAACAGGCCCAGCTGATATATGCTCAGAATATGTTGAGCTGATCTGTCAGGAAATGAAGGAGAGGTGGAAATAGAAGCCAAATAAATCCCACCCTAACATCACATGGGATTCAGAGGATGGAGGAATGACAAATGCAGGAAGAGAAAAAGGTCCCTGCACAGATTTCCATTTCAAGAAATTTCTGGGGAACTTTTGGGGAGGAAATGAAACTCCCTTTCTTTTTTGACCCTACCTCAGAGGGCTGCTGTAAATATTAAAGACCCACAAAGACAATGGAGGTTGCCCAAAAGAAATCACCCCCTCCCAATATAATAGGGATGCGAAAGATCCCCTTAGAAAAGGAGCGCCTGAACTGTCTACCTGGAGAGCAAAGAAGCCTTGAACCCCTTCCCGAGGTCTGTCCTAGCTTTCTTCCTTGTGAGGAAGAAAAAGCAGAGAAAGAGAGAATGGAAAATGACCCCTGGAGACACTCAGACTGAGCAGGGAGGTGGGTAGCGTGGATCAGATAGAAGCAAAGAGAAAGGCAAGCAGGGCTAGACTAGAAAAAGCATCATCTATCTCATAAATACCATTAAGAAAAGCAGAAAAGCCGCCTGAAACCAGCAGGATGCACAGAAAAGTGAGGAAGACAAACACTTGCCAGAAAGGAAAGAGTAATGAAGAAGGCACACAGAGATACAGGCAAACAATTGCAGATGCATGTTTGCATATACACAATACTGCATATATCACATCACACAAATCTATAATGTGTGTGTATATAAATTGCATATTTAATATACATAATTGCATATATATATATAATTGCATATACATCTCATACTTATTTGCACACACATATACAAATAATTGTGTGCACATATCAGACATGTACATATCACATGCACATACACATATAATTGTATATCTCTCACACACCTGTATATATATATATACATGTACTTGTTTCTATATCATACGCACATATAATTGTGTGTATATATCATACACCTATCATAGTTACATGTATACATATAATTGTGTGTATATATCATACACATGTATACAAATAATTATGTGCAGATGTCAGGCATAGAAATATCATACACACATATATAATCACATGCATACATACATACATACACACACACATATATATACATATATATATATATACACATATTATATACATATTATATACAAATATTGTATATACGTGATTGCATATATACTTGTGTTGGTATATATCACATACACACAGGTATACTTACAATTGTGTGAATATATCACAGACACCTTTATATCATGCACACATGTACACACGTAATTGTGTATATAAACTATATACACGTTTGCAGAAAATTGTGTGCACATCACATCAGACATGCATGTATCCCATGTATACACATAATTGTATCTATCACACACACACCCCTGTCCTTACCCACGACTGCAAATATACATCCACATATCACCCTTAGAGATGCATTTAAGCCACCCAGCCGGGTATACAGACAACACGTGTCCATGCACAGGGGTGTTCAGATGTGCCCCCTCAAGAGACCCGCCCCGAGGAAAGCCAAAAAGCCGCCCGATGCCACGGAGGAGCAGTGGGCAACGCGGGCTCTCGGGAGGGAAGCGGGAGGAGGAGGACCCTCCAGCCGGGCGTCGCTCGAGGCGGGGAAATGCGCAGCAGAAATAAGCGCGGCCGAAGAGCCGGGGGGGGGGGGGGGGGGGGGGCCGGGCGCCGGCGGGGGGCCGGGGGGGGGGGGGGGGGGGGGGGGGGGGGGGGGGAGGCAGAGGATGGGGCCTTCCCGCTCCAGCCGAGGCAGCGTCGCCTCCGCCTTTCCTCCCCAGGAGAGGAGACCGGTCCGCCCGCTTGCCCGGCCTCTCCCTTCCCCGCCCGCACTGACCGAGCAGGAGCAGCTTGAGCTCCCGGCGGGCGTCGCGCTTGTCCCTCCGCAGCTGCTTCTCGATCTCGGCGTTGATGCGCTTCGACTCTTTCACCTCGTCGCTGAGGCAACAGGCCATCATGGACTCCAGCGTCATGGCTGCTGTGCCGCCGCCGCCGCCGCTGCTGTTGCCACCGGCACGGGCGGAGCCGCCGCCGCAGCCGCCGCCACAAGAGGCGGCGGCGGACGAGGAGGAGGAAGAAGAGAAGGCGACGGATGAGGAAGGGAACGGAGGCTCGGCCTGCTCAGGCGGAGGCGGCGGCGGCTTCGCGGTTCCGGCCGCCCGGCCGCGACGGTGGCGGCTCCGGCTGCTGCTGTTGCTCCGCCGCCCCCTCAGCGACGGCGACCCAGCCCCGCGACGCCAACCCAACTTCCCAGCTCGCCTCACAACACGCGGTCAACCGAACCTTCCTGCGAGCACCAGCGGGACGGACGGCGGCCGCGCCCAATAGGAAGGCGGGCGCGCGCGCGGGCGGGTGCGTAACGGCTCCCCCCCACAACCACCCCGCCTCTCCCTTCCCAACCACCACACAGTGACTGACAGAAAACACCGGGCGGGCCTGATTGGCCGCGCGGGAGAGAAAGACGCGACGTGGCTCGGCCAATGGGCGAGCGAGCCCCCTCAAGACGGGAGGCGGGGACGGCGGGGCGCCGCCGCTGAGCGAAGAAAAGATTGGTCCCGCCGGCCACACGACGACCAATCGGGGAGCGGAGGAGGGATGGGAAGAAGTCCGAGAGGTTTTGCTGGCGTGTGAGGAGGCAGAGAGGGTTTTTTAATTATTATCTGGGACCCGCCCTTTTTTCCTTAGTTTTTTTTTTTTTTTAAGCAAGGTTGGTTGTTAGATAAGAGATGGCGGGGGAATATACGGCCTGAAAGCTTGGCTCGAGTAGGGGGTGCGCATGCGCGGGGCGAGTGTGCCGCGCGCAGCATTATGGGCCGGTGGAGGACTTGGGGGCATCGAGTAAAAAGGACTAGAGGAGCCCAAAGATTTTTTTTTTAAAGAGTGCCTCTGTGCGCGTGCAGAGTGACGTTCCCTCTCTTCCTTGACTTTTCTCGGTCCCATTTGCCAGGATGTACTATATGTATGCAGCGGCAAACGGGGAAATAATTCTACATTTAAATACAACCCCCCACAAAAGGCTTTGATAGACATCTTTGCACAAGGCCTAACTTGTGCCTGAGGGTGTTGTGTGAATCCACTTTACTTGATTCGAGGGCACATCCTTTACTGGGTCCTTGATTTAAGCCAATTTCTGGGATTTCATAAAACAGTGCAGGCAACAGGCTAAAAGTATGGACAGATACTCCTTGACATACAACCATTCGTTTAGTGACCGTTCAAAGTTACACCGCCACTGAAAAAAGTTGACTTATGAGTGTTTTTCACACAACCATTGCAGCATCGTCATGGCCACGTGATAAAAATTCACACACTTGGCAACTGGCATGTATTTATGATGGTTGCAGTGTCCCATGTGATCCCCTTTGGCGACCTTCCGACAAGCAAAACCAATGGGGAATCCACTTAACCGTGTTTTATTAATTGCAGTGGTTCACTTAACAACGGTAGCAAGAAAAGTGATAAAATGGGACAAAACGCATGTAACTGTCTTGCTTAGCAATGGAAATTTGGGACTCAATTGTGGTCGTAAGTTGAGGATTACGAGTCAAAAAGAGGGCTGTGAAAATATTTACAGACCCCTCACATCCCAGACATAAACTGTTTCAAGTCCTTCCCTCAAAATGATGCTATAGAGCACTGCACACCAGAACAACTAGACACAAGGGGAGTTTTTCCCCCGAAAGCCATCACTCTGCTAAACAAATAATTTCCTCATCCCTGTTCAACTATTACAAAGTCTGCACTAGTATTACTGTTAATCTCATCATTCCTTATCGCCCATTGTGACTGTATGACAGTAACTTTGTCGCTTGTATACTTACGATTTATATTGACTGTTTCCTAGTATGATTGATTGCTTATTGTACCCTATGACTATCATTACGTGTCGTACCTGATGATTCTCGACTCCTGACGAATATATCTTTTATGTATCCTGAGAGTTTTTACACCAAGACAAATTCCTTGTGTGTCCAATCACACTTGGCCAATCAAGTATTCAATCTATCTATCTATTACCTGTATCCCAGCCAGGTTGCATCTGAGGGACCTTATGTTTCATATGAATGCAACTTGAAGGGCTGGACCTGGACCTGCAAGAGGATGTTGTGTAAATCCAAATGTTTCCATCACCATTTTCAGAGGCAGAGATACCCAAAGCTGAATTCATGCACAGAGATGCTGAGTTACTCTGGTTACTCAGCTAACAGAATAACAGAGTTGGAAGGGATCTTGGAGATCTTCTAGTCCAACCCCCTGCTCAAGCAATGGCTGTCCAATCTCTGTCCAAAGTCATGTGTTGGAGCACCCACAACTTCTGGTGGCAAGTCGTTCCACTGGTTAATTATTCTAACTGACAGGAAATTCCTCCTTAGTTCTAGGTTGCTTCTCTCCTGGATTAGTTTCCATCCTTATTGCTTCTTGCCCTGCCTTCAGGTGCTTTGGAGAATAGCTTGACCTCCTCTTCCTTGTGGCAGCTCCTTAAATATTGGAACACTGCTAACATAGCAGCTCAGGGTTCTACCCCACATACTGAAGGATAATGGATAAACTAATCTCCACGGGCTGGAATTGTGTAACACAAGGGATGATATTTGAAATGAAAATCTGATGTTGTAGTGGACAGTGAAGAAAAGAAACTGATCAGCCCAAAGTTTTCATTTGAGGCACCAATGTCCAGCCTCAAATGAGCCTACTTTTGACTTTGAAGAAGCAGGAGGCTATCGATATCTCTGAACTTAAGACTCCTGAGAAGACAACGGACAGCCAAGAAAACAGACAAATGGATCATCAAACAAGTCAACCCAAAGTTCTTGTTCAAGGCTTAGGTGACCAAGCTCAAATTATCCTACTTTTAATACGTGATGTAAATACTCAGACCTCTTGAGAGGCCTTTGGTGCTGGGAATGGTGGAAGGAAGGAGAAGAAGAGGGAGGACCGACAACAAGGAGGGTGGACTCTGTTACTGTTCTGACCTAGGCTTCCCCAACAACACAAAGCCAACTCCTCATCCCGATAAAACCCCTTTTATTTAGTTTACACTGAATTCCTCTCCAGCAGAGTCCCAGGCAACAGTTTTTCAGGATATTTCACAATTACAGACCTTTATCAGGCTTGGAGAGTGGCCAGGCCAATATCTTTCAAACGCCACACTATAGCAGACAATGCTTGACAAGAAAGCAGGAACAGATCTTCACCCAAATGAACTAATTCCCTCCTGCAAAACCCCATTCTCCTTTCGCTCCTCTTTTATTCCCTATGGGAAGGGGCATTCACCATCCACCTGTGGCTTTCCTTCCAAGTTGACCCTTGTTCCTTAGCTTCCCATTCTTCTGGCAGCTCTGCATGCGCACACTGGGAACAGGCTCCAGCTGTTCTTCTGCCTCACTGATGTCTGACTCCGAAGGCAGCTGATAACTGTCAGATGGCCTTGGCCCCATCTCTGCCTCCAACACAGAGCACTCGTCAGAGCCTTCCCCAGACTCCAGGACTGGCCCAGGTTCCTCCCCAACCTCCTCACTGTCCAAATCTGCTGCCAGCTCCACTGGCCGCTGGAGGGCCACAACAGTTACCACTGTAATGAAGGACCAGGTTGGAGATAAATTGCCGTAGAGAAAATCTATCTATGTGGTCTCTAAGGGTTGACAGTGGCGGTTGGCATGTAATCAATCAATGCAAAAACCCAGCTCTCCTGAGAAATCCATAATGCTGAGGAAGGAGAGAGAAAGAGGATCACCTGGATCAAGATGGATTGAGTCACTTAGAGCAAGACCTGAAGGCATGTTGGAACAGATCATCCTGAAGAAGTTCTATCTAGGTGGCCCCTAGAAGCATTGTCAACTGAATAGCGCATTATCAATCAATAATATCTCACACTGTTGAGAAGTTTGTAATGCTGGGGAACGTGGAAAGAAAGACAAGAGGATGATCAGTAGCAAGGGAGATGGATTCCATTACAGCAGTGATGGGTGCCAGATCAGTTTGGGAACTGGTCACCTCTGTCGCTAAGATTCACCACCAACGTGATGCTACAGAATCAGTTAATCAATACCATGTTTAAGCACCATGCTAAACTATCATTATGATTCATGGTGGCACAGTGGTTAGAATGCAGTACTGCAGGCTACTTCTGCTGACAGCCAGCTGACTGCAGTTTGGCACTTCAAATCCCACCAGGCTCAAGGTTAACTCAGACTTCTGTCCTTCCGAGGTGGGTGGGTAAAATGAGGACCCAGACAATATGCTGGGGACAATATGCTGACACTGTAAACTGCTTAGAGAGGGCTGTAACACACTGTAAAGCGGTATATAAGACTAAGTGCTATTGCTATTTGCGAGCCACCCTTTATAGCTGGGGGCTGACTTTGCACATCAGATTTGCTATGGCATTCTTGAATGAAGAAGCTCCAGTTTGTTGGGTTCACCCAAAGCTAACCATGGCTTAGTGCAGCAGCCCCCAACCTTTTGGGCACCAGGGACCGGTTCCGTGGAGAAAGGTTTTTCCATGGACCGGAGGAAGAGGTGGTATTCAGCAGGTTCTGACCAGTTCTGGAGAACCGGTAGCGGAAATTCTGAGTAGTTCAGAGAACCGGCAAATAACACCTCTAACTGGAGATTTTACAGTCTCCTTCCCCTGCCATGCCCACCAAGCCATGCCCACAGAACTGGTAGTAAAAAAAATTGAATCCCACCACTGACTGGAGGGGGTTTGACATGTTGCCTGCCTGCCATGGATGGGGCTTGGCTTGTTTGCATGGCCCGGTTTCTGGCATGCAACCCAGGTACCAGTCCACAGACTGAGAGTTGGGGACCTCGGCTTAATGAGAAACCTCATACTTTGCTCAATGTCTTTCTAGACCAGGGGTCTTCAAACTTGACAGTTTTAAGACTTGTGGACTACAACTCCCAGAATTCCTCCATTATTCATGTTAGCTCAGGAATTCTGGGAGTTGAAGTCCACAAGTCTTAAACTTGCCAAGTTTGAAGACCCTTGTTCTAGACCATCTCCCTTCAAATAAGCTATGTAGCAGAAGAACCTCCAATGCAATCCTTATTTTTATTTTTATTTTTTTGTTTTTACCTTGCCTTTATTGTTTTTATAAATAACTGAAGGCGACAAACATACTTAATACTCCTTCCTCCTTTTATTTTCCCTACAGCCACAGCCCTGTCAGGTGGGTTGGGCTAAGAGAGAGTAACTATTCAAAAGTCACTCAGCTGGATTTCATGTCTAAGACAGGACTAAAATGTAAGGTGGGACTAGTACTCACAATTTCCTGATGAATGGCTCAAAGTCACCCAGCTGGTTTTCGTGCCTAAAATGGGACTAGAACTCAACATCTCCTGGTGATTAGTCCAAGATC